AAGAAGAAGAAGAAGAAGAAGAAGAAGAAGAAGAAGAAGAAGAAGAAGAAGAAATTTCAAAATTAATTTCTGCCAAACTGAAAGTGCTTAATGTGTCTTGCACCCTCATAATTATGACATGTAGAGGGAACAGATTCAACCAAAAGTAGTTTGTTTGACATAATATTCATAAAAAATACTTGTTTACGAAAACAGGTGTGACTTTTATTAAAACCACCTATAAACATAAAACGCACCATTTTAAAATATCTTGCAAGGAGAGTCATGGGATTATTGGTTTGTTTTTTCCCTTCCTTTTCTTTTTAAAATCTAATCTTTCCATCCCTGCGACATTTACACAATATTTCTTTTCTCTGACAGTTCTTTTTAATTATAAAATTCTTGAATTTCGAGAATCTGGGAAGTGTCGCTGTCTCAAAATAACCACTCGGTAGGCTACGTGATCGCAAATAGTGTGTTGTAGTGTCCGTAAACAGTGTGTTGTATTGCAGTACCGTAAATAGTGTCTTGTATAGTAGTTACCATAAATAGTGTATTGTTGAGACCGTAAATAGTGTATTGTAGTGACCGTAAATAGTGTATTGTAGCAACCGTAAATGCTGTGTAGTATTGTAGTCAAAGTGAAACGTTTATTGTAGTTACTACCGTAAATAGTGTATTGTAGTGACCATAAATAGTGTATTATAGTGACCGTTAATAGTGTATTGTTTTGTAGTTACCGTAAATAGTGTATTGTAGTGACCGTAAATAGTGTATTGTAGTGATCGTAAATAGTGTATTGTAGGGATCGTAAATGGTGTATTGCAGAGACCATAAATGGTGTATTGTAGTGACCGTAAATGGCGTATTGTAGTTACCATAAATAGTGTATTGTAGTTACCGTAAATGGTGTGCTGTATTGTATTGACCGTAAATGGTGTATTGTAGTTACCATAAATAGTGTATTGTAGTGACCGTAAATGGTGTGCTGTATTGTATTGACCGTAAATGTTGTATTGTAGTGATTGTATTGTAGTGACCGTAAACAGTGTCTTGTTTTGTAGTTACCGTAAATATTGTATTGTAGAGACTATAAATGTTGTATTGTATTGTAGTTACCGTAAATAGTGTATTGTAGTGGCCATAATTAGTGTGTTGTATTGCATTGGTCGTAAATAGTGTGTTGTAGCGATCTTGTGTATGCATCCAAAAGAGGACGTTTCGTACTGGGCCCAAATAGAGACACTTTTATTACTGGATCATTTTTAACGGTTGTTTTTAGATGGTCGCTGGCTTACAGGATTGCCACACAATGTTATGTGAGCATTGGAAAATCAATAATTATGGTGCGGTCAAAAAATTCGTGGCGCAGCTTATTATCAAATATTTCCTCAACTATCGAGCATAGGTTCTCCAGCTTTTGCACAACGACTTGTATCAACAGGTCTTAACAGAACAATATGGTCACTTTTAAGGACAAGCGGGCTAACCCAGATTTCGGGGGCTTCCAGAAATCTTGACCTACACTAAAAAGTGGGCGTGCCCTTCCTATTGGAGAAGTTTGGTTTCATTGGTGTGTACATGTGTTTGGCTATAGAGAAAACTTTCCTTTTCTTTTAAAGAAACTGAACAAGGGGCAAAAACTTTACCTTCAATTTTCTCAAAACAGCACTTTTCGGGATAGTATATTTTTGTAAATACCTCTAAGCTGTTTTCTAGAAAATTCATTGATAAATACTTTTTTGAAATCCAAGTTGGTGGTTTCTACAAATTTTAAAACGGTTTACAGATGGGGCAATATTGCTTTTTATAAATACAAGTCAGTCATATTTTTTCTAATAACGATATTAAACTTATAAACGCATGTTTTGAGAACCTTTTGTGCAAAAAATGTGTTCATTATAAATTCTAAACTTAATTTCTTGTAACAAGTTTTGCCACTAAAAAGGGTCACTGGTGGGCTGCGACGTATGACAAATGCGTGTGAGAAGCGAGAGGGCCTGTGAACAATCCCATTTTCCACTTGACCGAGATTTATAGCTTTTTTAAATATAAATTTATGAAGAAAAGATTTTTAATCTAGCCTCCTTAGTTGTGGGAAAATATGACAAATTGATACAAACTGCTGTGCAAAGTATGAGTGAAAGGGATTCACTCGTTAAAGAGAAAATTTTTAAGGAAATTTTGGATATTAAAATAAGGGTATATTAATTAGTCTCTCGAAGTCCAACCCCTCGTCCACGCCGTGGGAGATGGAAACAGGACAAAGTAGGGGATAGCTGGGTCTGGGTGAAGTACGGTGTGACTATGTCACTGAGGCGTTACACTAGCCGTGAAGGCCGACCCGGTGTCACAGGATATTTCGGAACCTGACGAATGGGAACCATTCTGATTCATCCTGGCCCTGGTGGTAGGATTTTTGGGAACCATTCTGATTAATCCTGATTGTAGTGGCAGGATATTTGGGAACCACCAGGATATTTCGGAACCGACTAGAAAGTCATTAGCCCACATGAATTTTTTACTTTATGACTTTATAATTCTACCTAAAATAAGTTTGCATAGTTTTGCACTTTAATTATGTTAGGAAGTAAAAAACGTTTATGAAGAATACAAAGGAAGTGCTTTGATTTCTTTTCTCTTTTTCTTTTTTTTAAACTTTTATTTTTATACTTTTGAAATTTTGAAATGTGTACTGGAAAGTTACATTGCCAAGTTTTTTGTTGAAGCCTGTGACCCAAATGTACACATATAAAGCTGCCAAGGATTGTGTCATTTTGTTCTCTAGTTCTATGTTTTCACGTAGTATTTCAATAATGTAATGATTGTGGGTTTGAAAGTTGCCAATAAAAATGTTTAATTTAATTAATTTGTCTGTTTCCTTTGATTGTGAAGTGTGAGACACTGCGTATCACACAGGGATGACGGTGGTTCCGAAATATCCTGGAGGTTCCCAAATATCCTGCCGCCAGGTGCAGGATAAATGGGAATGGTTCCGAAATATCTTAGGATTTTTGGGAACCAGTTCCGATTTAACCTGGTTCCAAAATATTCTACGACACCGGGTCACCCCGAAACGTTGCTGGCCAACGGGACTCTGGTGAAACTGCGACTGGCTTAGCTGGCCGGCAGTGGATGTTAATATTGCTCAAGAAAATATAAGGAGACAGGAGTGAATCTGTGGCAGACACCCTCAGAGCTCACGGGATGTCCCTCCTACAGGCCACTCACCTTGCTGCAGAGAGATGCCTGTGTCTCCACGCGACACCCCCCCCCCCCCCCCCACGTACAAGCGGAAGATAAAATACCCCCAAAAAGATATTAATATTGCTTTATTCACATTTAGAGAGGCAATGTTGCAAAAACAATGGCTAAAACAATATTTCAACTTAAAATATTATAAATCCTTTCAATATGTTATTAAGTATTGGTTAAATGGGACACAATTTTTGACTTAGGTATGACTTTTTTTACATTTCACGCCGTAGCTCAAAAATAGCTTCGCCAGCAACTAGGACCTTTCTCCAGGTACACATGCATACACACACACACACACACACACACACACACACACACACACACACACACACACACACACACACACACACAGAGAGAGAGAGAGAGAGAGAGAGAGAGAGAGAGAGAGAGAGAGAGAGAGAGAGAGAGAGAGACACACACACACACACACACACACACATATATATATATATATATATATATATATATATATATATATATATATATATATATATATATATAGTATAATATATGTAGATAGATAGATAAGATTCTTACGAAGTTTTTGCACGGACGAAGGTAGAGCATTGTCGTCGCTTGATATTCTCTTCTATGAACTGAAACAAACAAAAATCATAAACTTTAACCACCATGTTATACATCACCTTAATAACTTTTTAACGTATCATCATCGACAATGTGACTTTAAGGTGAATATATCATCGTAAATTTGACGTAATGGTGTACATATTGTTATCGTCAATTTGACCTAAAGGTGAACATATCATCAACGCCAATTTGACTTAAAGGTGAGCATATCACCATCATAAATTTGGCGTAAAGGTGAACATATCAAAATCATCAGTTTGAATCAAAGGTGAACATATCATCATCATCAATTTGACTAAAAGGTGGACATATCACAATCATCAATTTGAACCAAGGTGAATATGTCATCATCCTCAACTTGACGTAATTTTGAAAATATTTTCATCGTCAATCTGACTTTTGTCTTACAGGTGAACATATCATTTTCAGTTTGTATTAAAGGTGAGCATATCATAATTGTCAATTTGAATTTAAGTTGGGCATATCCCCATGGTCAGTTGGAATTAATGGTGAACAAAGAACCAACAAGAATATTGCAGGGACTTCGCCAGACGTCTGTTCGTGAGCTAATACAGACCATGTACGTGAATACAAACACCTTATTTCTCTGCCGTTATTGACAGGAAAAAATCTAGTCAAGTTAATGTTGTTTTAATGAGTGCAGGTTTCATGCAACTAAGTGGCTATAATACCAACACGTAAAACAGCAATAATTTCATTTTGCTACCTCAGAAATACGAAGTTCTATCTGACACTTTTTGCCCGTTTGAGTTATACGACCATGAGGTCAGAAACCAGATATTCTATTTGCTCTATCAAGATTGTAAGATTATTCGGAGCTGTTATCAAGATATTTAAAGATTGGCATTCAAAAAAACTTGACATACTGTGAAATTCAAATTTTTTTACATCAAATTTCTCAAAATCACGCTCTAAGCAGATAGAACGTTTTAATTCTAGGGTAGCGATTTTTTTGACAGACCCCAAAATATCAGAACATGCAGGGTTGCAAAAGTCGATACACAGTAAGTAGTTATCATTGTTGTAATATGTAACTCGGGAAACAATTGGCTACATTAGTTGGCGTTTTTAGAGGGTTGGGAACTGATAATATCTTCAGTGTCACTAATTGCATTAATTATAGCAACACATGATACAGGTTAATGAACTTAGTACTATGACAATAATGTGAAACTTACTGTATACCTACTTTTGAACACACACACACACCCTTCCCACCCCCCTGCTGTATTTTACCAAAGTGACATTACCTTTTGAAGTGAAGGAGTTGTCGTCATTTTGTCGCTGAAGGTCTCCCTTGAGGTAAGGTAGTTTCACTTGTCCTAGTGTATATAGAAATTGCCCTTGTCCTTCAACAGTTCAGCAAGACAGTGAGAGACATTCTGTGGACGTGTTCATAACTTGTTAGTAAAGAGTTGTATACAGAAACAATAAGGGCTTGTCTTACCCCCTTCCCTCCCCCTTTTTTTGTTTTTTGTTTTTTCTTTTTTGATAAGTATTTTACGGCGCTCGCAACTGTATACGATCATATGAGCACGCGGGTCACATTAAGTATTTTTGTTTTGGTATGAATTAATTTTGAATTTTGCCCAAGTGGCGGCCAAAGCCTACTTTTATCGATTTTACGACATCCAAGGGATCTTTAACGTGCACAACTTGCACACAGGACCTCCAAGATTGTTTTCTCCCTTATCCGAGAAGGCCGTTATTACCTGCCCCAATATTAAAACAGGGTATGGGTTTAACGTTCCTTTCGACACTGTTAGTTATTTAAGAGGCGGGCCCTAAGACTAGGGGCGGGTGCTGAAAGGCAGCAGTAAGAAAGAGTCAAGGAGTAGCAGTAGAAAAGCTGCAGAAGGAGTCAGGAGCCCAGAGGAGGGGCAAAGAGGAGGGTGCAGGAGGAGCAGAAAATGGAGACGAAAATCGACGATAGAACATAGAGAACAGGAAAGGAGGTGAAAGAAGAACATTTTAGAGGCGAAAATGTTTCGTCGCTGTCAGGTTTCGAACCTGAGACCTATTGAAAGAGAGGCGCACACCGTAAATTCTAGATCAAGAGAGCCCCCAACGGCTCGTCAGTGCCCAGAAAAAAATCAGGATAAACAGAAAAACATCAGAAGAAACATAAATTCTATTAACAGAGGTACGACATTAAAAACGATCCATTAAACAATCTTTAAGTGAAAGAAATTCACAAGCTACCCCTAGGCCTATCAATCGACCGGCATTTTTCAAAAGCGATATTTTAAAAGACGTAAAAAAGACGGACATAGTGTAGTGGCACCCTCCTACCACCCACACAGACATGAGAAAGGCCAACTCGTGGCACCCTCCAGTCGCCCTTACGGAGAAAGAGCTACTTTCTTAAATAGCTATCAGTGCAATAGGAAAATAAAATTACACGCTTTAAAACACTAACAAACCGACGAGATCTTTCGCTGTCTATAGCCGGGTAGCTTTTCACACATGGATGAAGAGAGGAAATTTCATGTAAACTGGCTTTGCCAAGGAGACAACGTTAGACTCCTTACAAGATTCGAACCCACAACCTTTCGGATGAGAGCCTAACCACTACCACCATCGACGCCTTTTGGATATCAGATGTATACAACTTAAGGATAAGTGGCAGTTAATACTTTTAACTTTGTTATTAACACATACCAGCATCATTCAGAGTGATCATAAAACACCCCAGGAGATCAAAATGAAATTCAAATAGCAAAATATAATCTTTCTGAAAGGAATTTGAAAATATTTCATATTTTGGGGTACAGAAGCAATATTGACTCAATCCGGCCCGCGCTCTCGCTCAATCAGTTTATTGACTAAAGTGCTTATATTTTCACATAAGCAAACTAACAAAAAAATCTGTAATCCTAAATAGGCGTGTCTGTCTGTGTGTCTTTCTGTCTGCCTGCCTGTGTGTGTGTGTGTCTGCCTGTCTGTCTCTCTCATTCAATGCCGCCGTCAAACGATCGCCTTACCAAGCGCTGCTGGGTACTGAACCAAGGGTGGGCCTCAACATCTATACCAACGGAAATGCTGGGCCAGTTTCAGTCAGGGGATGTTTTACGAGCCTTTGCCCAGCAAAGAGCTCAAGCAGCTCGTTCTCATGTCGACGAAATCACAGGCGTTGCTGCTCATCACGTCAACGAAATCACTTACGTTGCTGCTCATCTTGTCGACGAAATTACCGACATTGTCCAAGTCACATAATTTGCTGCTGCTAACGGGCAAGCCACGAACCTGAATTATCCTCATGTCGACCAAGTTGATGGCATTCGCACTGTTGAAAACGTGGCACTTCTTGATGCCAGACAGGCTCAAATACACTTTCATGGAGAGCAGAGTAGGAAATTCCAGATGGAACAAGCAGAACGGATGGTAAAAAGAAGTAGAATAGAACTCGCCCCAGGCCAGAAAGGTGACAATGTTGCCATTCCCATTCCTCTTGTTGATCGGGGCCATGGCGACCCACGAAACATTCTGACTGTTATTTTGGACAAAAATGACAACAATAACTACACGCTGGCTACCAAACATGGAATCTTAAAAGGGGCAAACAGCAAGAATGAATTTGAACTTTGCCCTGAAAAATTACTTCTGATGAGTGAGGTTAACTGCACCACACAAGTCGGTTTAAGAGAAGCGGTTGTATTTGGCTCTCAGTGTGGCGGTCAAGGTTACATTAAATGTAACTGTTCAGGGTCATCGAAATGTCAAACAAACAGATGCAAATGCTTCAAAGCAAAGCTCAAACGTAATAGTCGTTGCCACCAAAGTCTCAACTGCAAAAATAAATGAGCTCATGTAAATGAACATTCTATATTTAATTATAACTTTTTATTATTAAATTTGTTTTCATTAAACGGGGTGAATATATTACCGCATGCATCCCCTGTCATTTACTTTACATATGTCATTCCGCCATTTTGTTTTTTTTTCGATGGTAGTTATTCCTAGGAAATGCCTGACGGCCTATTTCAGTCATTCTCTGAAAATGACTAATATTTTTAGGCATTCCTGGAAATGCCTGATCAAAATAGGAATTATTTGGGAATTACTGATTTTTCTGACATTTCCTGAGAATGACTAGTTTCCGGGTTTGACTGTAACATATCCACGGTCTTTGGTTTGACCTCCGCGCTGAACTAGTTAGCAGAAGATCTACTAGATTGTTTTGGCTGTCAGTTTACTTCTAAAATTTGCATGTAATTTGAAAGGGGGGTACCTACTAAAATTATTGACAGCGTGTTGCAAAAATGTGTTCTTGGTAAAAGTAACACGTCAGATCTATTCCCAATACATTGAAGTAGCCAATCCGATATAAAGCTAAAAATCCATAATTTTTGCCAAACGTCTTATTTTTTGCCCTGAATATTCCCAAAAGTCTCGATTCGATTGCAAATTGTGGATTTTGAGTTATAGGCATATTTAGCTTCTTCATCCTCTCTTACAACTATCTCATAGCATTAGAATTTAGAACACCCTAAAGCCTTATTTCTTCCCATACCGGGCATGTTTGCCATCACCATTTCCTCATAAAGTCAATCTCTTATTCTTCTTTATCGCACGTTTTCTCAAATCGCTGTTTTTCCATATACTTTAAAAAAAAATAACTCCACTAATCTTCCTCCAATCTTCATGACATTTTCACAGAATGAAGAAAAGATGTAATACAAACAAATTTCTAGGTTGAATTGTTTATATATAAAATAGATTTTTGTTGGTGGTGTCTTGAGTGTGGATTTTCACGGATTTTTAGCAAACTTCAACACTTCCTCAGGAAAAAATTCATTAAAAAATCTTTTAAATCGTTTACGAAAAATTCAACTGACAAATTTGTAGATCTAATGTTTGCTAACATGCATTGAAAAAAAAACGATTTCAATTTTTTTAAAGTGCAGTATTCATTACGTAAAACATGTTAATATATCCAATATGGCGAGCGCAGCCATGGAAATGAAACTTTTTGTAAAATTTGATTGCGGATTTCAAGACTCCTTACTATGCTTGTAATATGCTTTACAAAGCAAACGTGGTCAGTTTAAACGTATCTATGCGCTCAGCTAGGACCATGGCAGTAATGAGTTAGCTTTTCTTTTTCCGAGCTTGGTAAAATTCGCTTCCCTAATAAGCGAAATAGCCTTCAGGTATACTCTGCCCCCCCCCCCTCCCGTCCCTAAGGCTGTAAGACAGTGTTCTAGTGGAAAATCACGTGAACGTTGTTGCTGATGAAAAGAGACAATATGTGTCTAGACATTTGATGATGATGATGATGATGATGATGATTAAACAAATTTAAACATTTTATATTGTTATTTTATTTTTGTCTAAAATCAAAACAAGACTCTCCCTCCTACCCTGCTTACCAAAAAATGATGATGATGATGATGATGATGATGATGATGATGATGATGATGATGATGATGACGACGACGATGATGATGATGGTGATGATGATGAACACCCAGGCCTATACGAACATCTATTTAAACGTGACCAACCCTATTTAAGTCTCAAGTATATTTTTTCTCTACTTTGAAACATGATGTGGTGACACTTTGACGTTTGGGTTTCCCTTTCTTTGTGCTGTTGCACTTGATTGTACATCCACCCCCCCCCCTTTCCAAATTTAATTTTTGCCAGTTCAGGGTGAGCTTTCAACACTATGTGTGGTCAGTTTAAACGTATCTATATGCTCAGCTAGGACCATGGCAGTAACGAGTTAGCTTTTCATTTTCCGAGCTTCGGCTCTTTCCGATATTTTCCAAATCGCACCAATATGTAGGCCTAACTTAAAGTGAACGCTTTGTTTTTTCTCAGATACTATGGTCCTGATGAAGCCTTATTGGCGAAACGTTGAACACCCAGGCCTATACGAACATCTGATTAAACGTGACCAACCCTATTCAAGTGTCAAGTATATTTTTTTCTACTTGATGATGATGATGATGATGATGATGATGATGATGATGATGATGATGATGATGATGATGATGATGACGATGATGGTGATGATGATGATGATGTTGATGATGATGATGATGATGATGATGATGATGATGATGATCCTCCGTCCTCTTTCCCGACATAGAACATTTCCCCAACTTGAAGAACACCCTCTGTCACTCCCTCATGCAGATGAAGTGCATGATCGCCAGGATATTTTCTTTCAACGCCTACCCCGCGCTCTTTGCCTAAAGAGATCCTTCTACCTACCCCCCTCCCCACACACACACTCACTCACACACATACACACATACTATCACACACACACAAACACACACACACACACACACACACACGCACACAGACACACACACACACACACACACACATCCACAAACACACAGGCACACAAGTTTACTCACATAGATATGCATATTATTTCTACTTGTATGCATATGCAGACACGTATGTATACGAGTATAAAACAATGTATGTATGTTGGTAGGTAGGTAGGTAGGTAGGTAGGTAGGTAGGTAGGTAGGTAGGTAGGTAGGT